TTAAAACCAATACACACTTTTCACATTTTTAAACTGTAAAAATAAAAAACAAAATGAAAAATAGTTTATTTGCGTTGTACACGGACGAGTGATCTACTTTAGTAGTTTATACTATAACAAAAAGCCAACACTCTGGAGAGATGGACACATGGCGTCTTATCTACTCGGCACGTGGCACTTACAAACGTAAGAAGTAAAAGGACTCATTTAGTTTAGTAATATATATAATAACTATTGAAATGTTTACACAAACTTGTTTGGTATTTGGTTCTATGTTTTGCTACGTTAATGGTGTTGTTTTGATTGTGTATATATATCATAATTATGGAATTAAATAATTTTGTACCCAAATCAGCTGGAGTCGTATACATTGATCATGACACCTGATTATATATGTTGGATTTTGTTTTGTACATATTATATGCGATATGACTTAGTGTTAGACTTGTATATCTTAGTGAGCAAATACGCATACATATGCCTATTATATATATATAAGTGAGTATGCATATTATATATATATAAGTGAGTATGCATATATATATGAGTGAGCAAATATGGTTATATATCTTAGTGAGCAAATATATTGATATATTATATGAGCAAATAGGCTTATCTATGTAACAAGAACAATTAGGTTTGTATATTTGAGCAATTAGGCTTATCCGTCTGAGCAACTAGGCTTATTTATGTAGCATGAACAATTATGCCAATCTACTTGTTTTGTAAGCATGTGTATTATGAGGACTGTATCTTATATACAAATTTAAGCAATTAGGCTTATAAGATGAGCAATTTGGCTTGATGAGTTTACATAAATGCTTGTTTGAAAGACAATTAATATGTTGAAAGATCGGATTAGTTTTAGGTATACTAGCACGAGAACCTTGGTTGGTGCAGAGTTAGGATGGATTACAGTATTTGTGTATGCTTACTGGGCGATAATCCATCGCTCACATCAATTTTCGCAAGTTTTGAATTGAAGTTCAAGATTCAAGCTTGTTCGTGGTTGTGGGGTTTTGGGTCAAAGCTACACAAATGTTTTTATTTTGTAAACCAATAGTTTGTATTTTAATCGAGTTGGTATTTAAAAATAATGAGTGTATGTCTCTTACCTATTTATTTATCAATGTCTCGATGATTCTCTTTGATTTTTTGTGGAGTTACATG